CCTTCTTACTTCTTACTCTCACTCTCAGTCTCACACTCTCACTCTCACTCTCACTCTCACTCTCACTCTCACTCTCACTCTCACTCTTTTACTTCGACGAAGGACTAGCGTCCGAAACGTCAGTGAGTTTTTTCATCTTTTCACGGTGTATAATTTACCCATTTATCATTACTCTTACTCAATACTGATGCTTATACCTTCTAGTCAATGGTAGCTTTATCAAAACTCAAGCGTCAAGTACTCCTCTGCGACTCACCAGTTCGTTCACCCAAGGATTTCACTGACGCCTCTATGTTCCGGGTGAACCAGGAATTCGCTCTGATGTAAGTAGAGAGAAACTCAAAACATCTGTGAGAGTCAAAAGACGAAGCATTTATTCAAAGCATTCTTACCCAGACCCTTGCAGACGTTTGGGTTTGTCTTGGTCGTGTGTTCATTGAAATGGCTCTAATGGCTTGCTTTTGTTTTACAGTAAAAATGGGAAAGTACAAAAACGAGGTAAAGTGAATCTGATTGGAAGACTTCAGCTATCGACTGAGAAAACAAAGCAAGAAGAAAATGAAGGGATTGTGGCTCTAAGAATTCTAAGAATACAGGTAAAATATTTTCTCGAAGGGCGTTGTGACATGCGCAGACAAGATTCTCCCAGCATGCAAAGCAAAGTGACATGCGCAGACGAGATAATCTCATGCAAAGCAACGTGACATGCGCAGACGAGATACTCCCATGCAAAGCAACGTGACATGCGCAGACAAGATTCTCCCAGCATGCAAAGCAAAGTGACATGCGCACACGAGATACTCTTATGCAAAGCAACGTGACATGCGCAGACGAGATACTCCCAGCATGCAAAGCAACGTGACATGCGCAGACGAGATACTCCCAGCATGCAAAGCAACGAGATATGCGCAGACGAGATACTCTCATGCAAAGCAACGTGACATGCGCAGACGAGATACTCCCAGCATGCAAAGCAACGTGACATGTGCAGTCTAGATTCTTCCAGCTTAGAAACAAATGTATTACTAAACACAACATCCAATTTGATCCATTTTCAAGATTATTGATTATTCTTCACTTCGTTCACAGGAAGCGATTGTTAAAATTATGAAAATGAGAAAGCGAATCACAAACGCTGCGCTCCAAACAGAACTGGTGGAAATCCTGAAAAACATGTTTATACCACAAAAGAAAATGATAAAAGAACAGATAGAATGGCTGATAGAACATAAGTACTTAAAGAGAGACGAAGACATCAATACCTTTATATATCTCGTCTAACAGACCGAAGATTATGGAACACGAGGCTGCTTGGGCTGGGCAAGTTGAAGGAAGGCTACTACTATGTGTAAGACATCTAGAAAATGAATCTATTATTTGTTTATGGGAAGCGTCCTGTAGAGTAATTCTCAAACGCTTTCATTGTAATAAGGAGCACGATAATTTGTGCTGCAAATGGGCTCAATCCTTAGAACTGCTAAGTATGTGAGTAGAGTTGTTGGTTGGTTGTCAGACTCCTGTGCTTCTATGTTTCTGTTATTCCTCTTCCTCTTCCTGCAAGAAGCGACACTTTCATATTCCATTTCAGCAAGGTCTACTAAGTGCTACCCTGACAAAATAAGAATATTTTATTCTATATCTTTTTAATAGGATAATGTGCGTGTATTTTTTTGGTTGCAATTGTATTTGCTTATTGATTGGTTTAGAGTGGAAGCCATTTTAAGTGTCGGGGTAGCCTGAATGGCTTCCGTGTAATTGATTTGTATATATTTCGTACGGCTTCTGATTGGTTTAGAGTGGAACCCATTTAAGTGTCAGGGTAGCCTGAATGGCTTCCGTGTCATTGATTGGTAAGATTTTGTACGGCTTCTGATTGGTTCAAAGTTTTTTTTTGAAGATGCCACAGGAAAAAAGAATATTCTGCACGTTACAGGCAAATTCATTCAATAAATTTGGGGGAAATATTACGCCCAAGCTAAGGTYACTAATTTAAGTTAAATTTGAATATTAGAAATTAAACGCAATTTCTTTACAATTTAAGCCACCACCAAAAATTTGGAAAATTCTCGCAATTCAGTTTTTGGAATGTTGGTCTCACTAGTGATTGGTCGGAATGTCAGCCAATCAGAAAATTTTAAATTTCATGAAATTTCGCGCCAAAATTGTAAAACGCGAGCGCGCACAAACCAAAAAAAACCGAAACATTTTTGTAATTTTTGGCTAACAAGAATATATTGTAATAGCAATAATATAAGAAAATGTTCATCTTCCTTAAAAGAATCTTTAAACGAAATAGTCGTTAATACGATGTTACTTTTTATTTGATTCTCTGTAAATATTCTAGAAAGGCAAAACCTGTTAATAAAATAGTAAGAATTTTCATTTTAAATGGTTGCATTTGATTCTGCTTTCATATTTTCGGGTAAAGTTTCTAAGTTCGTATTTCTTCGTCTCTGTCGTATGCATTCGTCGGCTTCCGGTTAGAGTTGAGTTGAGTTTCACGACACTCGCATCCGTGGATTTCCCAACATGCTCTTTGCCTGCACACTTTCAATCCCACAATCCACTGCAGTCCGCTCACTAGTTTGCAGGATTCCCGGTTGGGTGTTCTTTATTGGAGTTCGAAAGAAAGTCTCCAGGCCGTAACCATGGGAGTTCGGATGAGCGACGACGACGTTTCCCGTCATTTTAACGATGACGTCATGGATGCCGTTCATGAGATTGCGCCAAATTTTATAAGGGATTGCAATCAAGCAATATGCCGGCCAACAGACGCACCAGACGGTATGGCAATCGAAGCAGTGACGTATTGGCGTGGAGTTCGTGACAGTAAAAGTAGCCCCAGTAACCGCGGTTAGTGTGAGGCACTCAATTTGATCGTACCGTGAGGGGCCTTGGTTCTTCCACCACTCGAGAATCATGGGATTAAAGTCAAACTGAGAAAAATATGAGAAAATAATTATTGCTCAAGCGGCCACCCTTGGAAATAGTCAAATGGTCGCTTAATAGAGGGTGGCCGGTTAATAAAGGTTCTACTCTTGTATCATTGTAGTCTCCCTCGCATCCGTTTTTAGTGTCGGTCGTCACGCAACGCGTGGGAGACTAGTATCATTGGTAAAACCTAAGTTCTTAAATTCTAAAGCGAAAAAAAAAAAGGAAAAAAGCTCTATCAAAAGTAAATCACTTGCCTCAAGTGCAAAGTTTTTCTGCTGTGCCATTAGAGAGCTAACCCGGTCAAATCCCTCGTTTAATTTCTGTCGAATGACCGGGTTAGTCGTGTCGACAATCACCACAAATCGGGGCGATATCCACTCGTCCCCGTATAGTGATGTGGTTCCCGTCCCCCAGACTGGGTTGGTATATGGGTTCATCCAGGGACTGTTGTCTGACATCAGCCACCATTCTTTGTCTCTGAAGCTCAGGTATTCACCTCGACTGTTTAATCTAACAAATGAACGATTCAATATTTTAATATAATCCTGGCAAAGGCAACCTCTCCCCCTCCCCTATTAGTGAGAAATTCTCTTCTGAAAGAAGATTACCTTCAACCTATCCTAATATTAGTGGTTGTGTATATGAAGTTATGTTTTGGTCTGTGAGTTAGCCATGCCCTGACTTAGATCAGCCCAGGTTTCAGAGTATCGATAAAAATAAATAAAAAAGTTTTGCATCCTTCATCGTTCTTCTCACCTCTGTCCCTGAGGGACATGTTTACAACACGAAACCGTAAGAACCAACGGTTTACTGCAGATCTGTCTTCGAATATCTTCAACATTTCCAACACTCTGCACCACTGAGCACTTCGGAAAATTACTGAACTCCACATCACTACTAATGACCGTCGCAACTGAACTCGGCGCTATCGATAACGCGTCGTTTTCTCCTCGGATGAGGCAATTGGGTGGAAAAGAGCGGAAGGTTGATTCGGCGATGAGAATAACGCTGTTCTGATTGTCTTGGGATAGATTCATTCTGCGCTTTGATGATCGGATCCCACCAGTTATTTTAAGCTCTTTCCAAATTGACCAGCTGTAAAGCTTCAGTTAATATATTGAAAGCAGATCAGAATCTATACTAAGAGATATAGTTTTTTGATGTAGTTGGCATTGGCTTTGCGGGAGGAGGACACTTTATAGTTAACCAACTTTTTTCTTTCGATCCTTCTGGTAATGTATGATGTCATGGAGGATTCGTGTGAGTCGCTTGTAAGTACAAACGAACATGGAAACAACTCGCGAGCACTCCATAAAAGGTATTAATATCTCTAAGGAAGCCGGGGGAGACTGGTATCGAATGACGCTAAACCGAGGCCAGTTGTCCAGTGGAAAAATGAAAATGAGACGTACAGCTTAATGGAGAAAAGAAATCCGTTTTCTTTTTTTTAAAAAAAATAATAGGCATAAAAATAATAACAGTTTCAAAATTAGAACTTCGCTTTGATGTCGTATATTTCTGGCAATCATAACTAGCCTCGTTATGGTGTTGCTCGGTACAGTGCTTCTCCGTTTCCAGAAATATGAATAAGGTATATTATTCACGCAAATGACATCCAGTTAATTGAATAAGTTTTAGAGCTGCCTGCTGAGCAAAGCTTAACTTGCCGAGTAAATACACCTGGCTTTGAAAGTAGTAAATTAGAAGTTGAGGACTAGTTAGAACGAAGTGGGAGATTATTGAACGTCATTAAAATATCGCCGAGTCTCATGCCGAGAGAGGGAATGGGGAGACCGGACAACTGTCAATCAGTAGAGAAAATGAGTATCTTGAATATATATAGTTGTATAATACCATTGAGTGAGTTTGACAGCAGCCCGATTTTGACCGAATGAACAAAAAATCCCTGGGAAATGGAGAGATTCATGGCATCGTTTTCACGATTGTCCGGTTTCGACCCAGTCGTCTCACGGTATGGAACTCGACAATGGTGCTAGTACAGCTGCTTTTCGTTGACGTAGCTGTGCTACAAAGTAATACATGGTCTAACTTGAACAATACTTAATTGATTCTGAGTGTTTTGTGTGAGTGAAAGTGTCTTACCTCTTTTTGATTTTGAACAATTACAGTATATCGTATTTTGGCCAATTTTTACGTCTTTCCCCGGCAAAATGATGAGAGATCAGAGTTATTTTCTTCCATAAAATTTAACACAGGGATCCCAAAAGAAAATATACATGGGGCAGCCTATGGAGAAGGCTAAGCTTTGATTGACATCGGCTCATTTTCAAAACTGCATAATAATGCATCATTCATAATTTTCAACAGAAAAAATATGGTTTTGGACAATTTTCACACACTACRAAATAAATTATTAACAGTCTATTGTTAACATTATTCATTTATTCTTTCTTCGTTGTGTTACAGTATATCCATAGTATTAGAGAAGTATTTTATATATTTATTAAGTATGATAGTTAATGGTTTTTTCATTTGTACAGGGTGATTTTAAGAAAAAAACAATCAACTGGTGCATTCTGGTCTTGCTTGGGTACAAATAGCAACATACGAGGAATGTTAAACATAACGTATGTGATAAGATAGATCAGAATGCATTTGGTTGTTGTTATTGTTAATCGCCATCACAAGTACAGCAGTGGCGCAGCTCATCTGGGTCGAATTGAAAGCATATTACATGTTTAAGTGCAATTCACATGTCAAGAGTCTAATTAGTCCTTACACACTATAATCATTAAATTGTATTAATTATTACTAATACTATTACTATTTATTATTAGAGCATATTTAACACAGAACTAAGCAGTTGGCTTACTTATTACAAATTACAATCATTATTTTTCTCTCGGCATGACCAACAACTAGGAAACATAATCAATAGAGGCTTTGCACCATCACATGATGACAGCCACGACAGGAGRAACAGCGATAGAGTGGTTCTTTTCTGGGAAACTGAATTCTTTCTCATGTAAATCAGATTAGACCAGATTCAATTGTTCCTGCATCACGTCATGGCTGCCATCACGTGATGGTGCAAAGCCTCTATTTAAGGTAAAATGATTATAATTTAGACTAAATTAAGGTTTCTGTGGGTTGTCGACAAGGTTTRACAATCCAGCCTACTCTTTAGTATCTACCAGTACTAATATCCTACATATATCCATATACCATTAACTCCCTATATGCTGTATCGAAGGTTGTCAGCATTTTAATAGAATAATTATAAATTATTTATATCTTTGACTTTTGTTGAGTCCTTCTTTTTCAAGGACACAAACATCTGGAATGAACTGTTCAATGTCCCAGATATTTATCATTATTAATTAATACAAAACTATTAATTATTAGTTTAACAAAATATTCCTACCATGACTATTGTAATGAGGGTTCATTTTGCTCACATCTTGATACACACCACTAAAGGGAGGGACTCCCATGTGAGAGTGGTTGTGATGCATTTATTAGAAATTACAAAGATGACCCCTAGTATGCTAAATTCTAACATTGCCTAATTGAATGAATTTGTTTAACTACAAAGTTTCACCCAAAACAACTATTTAAGCCAATCAAAAGTGTTCATTCTCAAGATGGTTACACATTGTACAYAAAAAAGCTAAGGCCAAACAAAAAAGTAAGTGTGTTTCCTGTTGCATGAGCAAAATAATATTGGGGTTGGTAGGTCGGATTTGTTTTACTGATACAACAGTGGAAATGCATTTGGGAATAAAAAAATATTAGGGTCGGCAAAATTTGGGGGGGAAAAAGGGTCAGTTGCGCAATAGGAATCACACTTTTTTTGTTTGGCCTAACACGCGACTACTTGTCAAGATTGTTGCCTCTTGGTTGACTATTCTTTCTGTCTGTCTGTCCATTCTTAATCTTCAGAGGAGCTGCAGTAGGGAGAATTGTCCTGGCTCTTTTTTGAACTGTAATGTATAAAAACATAAAACTTGTCATCAGTAGTAATATCTTCAAAGCTTTTCACTGTTTTATCACAGYGTGGGACAATCACAACAGAGCTAGGCTCCAAACTAAGTGAAAGCCCAGAGATTGAATTAGAATTTAGAAGTTGATATATTTAAGTGTGTTATAATGATCAAAACTGTAAAAAACAGGATAGAGGATTAGGTTTGTCATAATAATATACATGTAAATATTATAAATGCTGTTGTCATGGTCATTATCATCTTCATTGCTTATCCACTTATTTCAATAAAGTTAGTCACCAAAAACCTAGAAAGCTGAGATCACTGAGCATCATGGGAAACTTTTCATATCAAAAAAGCATATATATACAAAGCTTTATTAATACAAACTGCAGCTCGATGATGCTCAGAATAGGTGAGACTGTAACCAGTAAAAGATTCGTAAGTCCATAAAAAGTTATCAAGCGATTGAACGTGTAAAATGATTCTACCCATAATCCTTGTCGGCCTCAGCTTTATAGATTTTCAGGTGACTAACTTTATTGAAATAAGTGTATCAGCTCCATCACCAACAATGTCACCATCATTATCAGCCTCATCACACATTCACCACCAACACCATCCTCACAATGCTTATTATTAACACCACCACCATCATCATCATCATCACCATCATCATCACTAACATCACCATCATCATCACTAACATCATCATCACCAACATCATCATCATCACCTCCACCATCACCACCACCATCATCACCACCATCACCACCACCATCATCATCACCATCACCAACATTGCCATCATCACTGTCATCATTATCACCACCACCATCATCATCACCTCCATCATCACCACTTTATCATCATCACCATCAACACCATCATCACCATTGCCATTGTCATCACATTACCATTACCATAATAAATCATCCTCAATATAACTCTTATTGCCACCAACATCATCATCATCATCATCATTATTCATTGTGTACCTGTAGATCATTTGGTCCTCTTCATCTGATTCATTGATCATAGAGAAAGTCGACGGTTCTCGGAAGTAGGAATCTATCAATATATTTAAAAAATCGTTTTATTAAACTCTTTTCCAAAGACAAATCTGTCTTGGGTAAACTTTAGAGCACACAGTTGATAGAAATAACAAATGCTTCACTGACCATAGAGAGCATTCTTGGACGGAGAGTACACAAATGCCATTGTGTAGAGATAGAAGTTCAGAAGTCCATAAAATGTTAGGAATTCCGCAGGTAAACAATGTTAAGGAATCAAATCAATTTTATGGAGAATCGAACACTGACATCACATTATCATTAACATCATAAAATCAAATGATGCTTAAAGCAAACACTGTCATTGGCTCCGTTACTCTGTTACTTCAACTCCGTTAGAAGCATACATCATGGGTTGGGCCCTTCCAAGGGGTCCTATTTAAGGTGCCTGCGACCCCCTTCTAAAATAAACTTAATATTTGGAGATCACCGTCCCTGGCTCCGTTACTTTGGTCAGAAGCAACATCATGGGTTGACCTGATCCAAGGGGTTCTATTTAAGATGCCTATGACCCCCTTCTGAATTGAAGCTTATTTGTAACATTCTTGTGTGTGTTTGTCAGGAGGTGAAGGACGTAGGATTTGTTGGAGTTAGTGGGGAATAAATCTCCAGCAGAAAACCTGGCTATGCCCGTTAGATCACAAATCAATCTGCAACAGCTGTTCTGATGCACAGTGACAAACTAGCAAGTTCTAAAGCAATGACAGACATCAAAGGATATAGTTTTTGTAGTGCGTTTCCAAGTCTGCCACAAAGTTCTCCTGTAATACTGCGGCACCAAACCTCAAGCCTGTAATCACTAAACTGATTGTCACAACAATCAGCATCAAGCCTGTCAAGAATTTGATTCTCAGATCTGAAAAAAAACAAACATCAAAAATTGGATCAACCATTATTGGGTGTGCAATATTCTGGTATAATCTTACATTATTTCTATCCATCATTTCTTCAATAGCATTTCCCTTATTTCTAATTTTTAAGACTCTTCTCCCAATTTTGCATTTCCCATTTTCCTTTTTTTCTAAAGTTCCTCTGCATGCTTGGAAGAATATCTATCTGACTACACCCCAAAAATGTGTAATATGATATATTGTGTAGTTACGTAAAATATCCATACCCAACCCACAGAGAAAATTGGAAATTCTAGGAGGAGGGGGGTCAAAGAAAGAAAAATTACAGAGTTGTAAGGAAGAAAACTGGAAGTTCCTGGGAGTAGTGGGGCACTGTTACAAATTCCCTGTGTGGAGGGGGTATGGATATTTTCTGGAACTACACATTTAATATCCCCCAGACCCACATACAATTTCAATTTTCTTCCAATTTTATCCAACTTTATAATATTATTTTTTATGCTACATCCCATATTTTTCTTCCCATTTCCCATTTCCCATCTTTTAATTTCAAAATGTTCACATCTTACCAAAGTAAGGCATTGCCCTGAGTTCACTGTATGCTCTGATCAGTAGATAGATCAAGTAGATCACATATATGCCACCAATGGTGAAAAAGAACACTTTTAGACCCTGGAATAAATAATACAATAAATTACTAGATGTCAGAATCTTATTCAATATATAATAAGAAGAGATAACTAGCTAAAAACTAGTGTGAGCTGCGTYGGTGTTCCTAACGAAACAGTAATGATAAAAGGATAAATTTTACACCGTGAAAAGATGAAAAACTGATGTTTCGGACGCTAGTCCTTCGTCGGAGTAAAAGAGCAATATGTAATAACAGAGTTCATTATATTCCTTCATACCATGAAATGTCCAATGTCTATCTTGTACTGATAAGTTGGGTCTCGGAGTTCATTGTATCTGATTAAAATAAGTAAATGAATTAAATGTACACCCCTTTATATTACCAACAGTAGAAGGAGAAATAAGGGTTTGAACTGATTTCTTGTACTGATAAGTTGGGTCTCGGAGTTCATTGTATCTGATTAAAATAAGTAAATGAATTAAATGTACACCCCTTTATATTACCAACAGTAGAAGGAGAAATGAGGGTCTGAAAAAATGAGAACAATTTAGATTACATTTTCACAGAAGCCTGGATTTTGAGATCTTTTGTAGATCATCAAAAGAGCAGAATAACAGAAATGGACTATTTATCTCTTCAGTTTGCTATTAGACCATTATATTTACACATATGTAAATATTACTCACTCGTTTAAGGGTGTAAGAGCTCGTTTAACCTCTGAGGTTGTTCGCTTGCACCTCCACAATATTTATAACTTATTCAATTTATTTATGTAAATGTTTCGAGGAAATAAAGACTGTTGTTGTTGTCGTAACACACTGTCTTGTTATGTACAGCAAACCCCAAACAGCAGTTCAATATCAGTCTGTTTCTGTCAAACGTTTGACAATTAGCAAGGCTTGATAATGAAGTTGTTGCTGGAAGAGCTGCATTAATTGAATTTCATACATGCTGAGTGTTTTTCCAAGTGTTTCTGAGTGTTTGCAGGCATGTTTCTGGGCCTGATCCCTTGCGGTTAGTGGTTAGTGGTAAACCTGATGCTAAAGGTATCTGTTGATACGTAAATATCAAACCAGTACTTACTGCTGCCAGGTTGATAGGACAAAAGCAGAGACCCACAGCATGCCGACGATCAGAAGCTTTGGAAAGTAGAACTGGAAGAAACGTCTGTCACTCTGCAAAATACATGATCTAACATGAATTACATGTACCTTGAAATATTTTTATTTAATCCCGAAACATATGATCTAACTCTGGGTTGGTGTAATTAAGTCATGGCATGGTTAAGTCATAGATCAAATTGGAAGTTTGCATGTTGGGTCTTGCAGAGGGAGGAAAACTGGAGAACCAGAGAAAAACCCTCAAATCCATGGTGCGACTCAAACCCAAGACCCACAAATGGGAGGGCACTACCATCAGCCTTGAGCTCCTACACATACTGTACGAGTGACGTCATGGAGATAGAAAATCTTATTTGTGCCAAGGTAAACTCATTCTGAAGCAATGGAAGCCAAAACTATCCAGGCAGAAATGTATTGTTTTGGCCAACAACAATTGTGAGGGACACGTGTTAGATAACTCTCTGGGTTAATTGTTCTCTCTCCTTAAATAAAGTTTATTGTATTGTATTGTATTGTATTGTATTGTATTGTAACATGGCTGCTGTTGTAATCACAAATATGGGCCTTAAGGGTGGTGTAGCAATAGTGGACTCTTGGTTGTGTTCGATTCCTGAATCCAGCATCACATTAAGAAGAATTGTTGGGTCTGTATGTCCTGCTTCACTTAATGTTTGAAGGGTTTTTATATAATGGTAGGTGATGTACCTGTCTAATTCCATGGAATGCACACAGCCAGAACAACAACAGTGCACAAAGGAATGATGCCTGGAATAAAGAATCAAACATGGCAGGAATCCAGCTGTTGACCAGGAAGTGCATGGGAAACAATGGATCTGGAAAGAAAAAAACAACGAAAAACGAAACGATGAATTTGTGAACAGCCAATTAAGTGATGATTTTGAGCTGATCTGAAAAAGTTATGTAGAAATCATGTCACCTCAAAACTGAGGTGTCATGAAGCTTGTAAAAATTGAATAAAAATATAAAACTCATGAATTATTGTGTCAGTGTTATGAAACGTGTATTAGCAACATTATTTTTCATTTGATGTCCTGGAAATCAATAATTTCACGAGGAAGAGTGACACCTCAGCTTTGCAAATTTTCTTGATTCTGAACATATGGCTAACATTTTCTCTCCAAACAAATGGTCGGTGTTAATGGTGCATCACTGATATTATCGCTTGGTTAACTTACCATTGTATAGAAGAAGAAGAGGAAGAAGCATGGACATCCATCTAAAAAAAAACAAAGCAGAATGAATAAGAGGACCACACATTATGAATGTGATTCAAGAGAGATTCAAAGCACAGGCAACCCAATTTATTAAATGCATTCAAGAGGGATTCAAAGTACAGGCAACCCAAATTATTAAATGTATTCCATCCTTAGGGATACTTGTTAGTAATTATACGAGTTATACTCTGGATTTTTTGGTCAGGTGGGTTGCCTGTGATCAGTCATCCACAGGTAACCCATTATGACATTTTGATCTTACTTTTACATCATTATTGATCCCCAAAGCTATACTTACTTTTGTAAAAATAAGAAAATACTTACTTTTGTTCAATAGACCAGTGCTTGAGGGAGAATCTTCTTAGAGAATAAGCAAACAAACACTGTGGAAAAAATTAGTAAACTTTTAATAAACATGACCAGTGTTGTTTTAGATTGAGATTTGTACATTTTCTTACAGAAGTTTTAGTATCGCGAATGCTTCACTACGTACAATGAATAAAATTACAGCTAGTATCCAAAACTCTCATCATTGTCAGTGCTGTTATCAAACAAGTTATCATCATTATCATGTGTCATCACTAAGGCTCTATTAGAGGGAGTTTCACACATCCTCTGTCTGAATTTCACAACCGCCTTTGTAACTTGTCAGAATTTTACCCCTTAAGGTGGCTGCCTACTTTTGAATGTTCRATTAGAGCCCATGATGTGCACGCGCTCAAAAACCGCTGAGAGATCTACAAGATTTTATTGAAGAACCATACGCGCTTTGAGCTTCAACAGGGCAAAACCCTCAAATTTTGCACGGGACTCTCTATTTTTTAATAGCTCATTAGAAAAAACTCCTAAAAATCTAGGTTATATCAACATTTTAGGAAAAGTTTAAATCAGTAACACATGAAAAAATCGATTTTTGTAGGGATTTTTGTTCGAGTTTATGAGATTTTTTAAGAGCACCAAAGCTACAAAATATGACAAATCAATGTATCTTTGTCTTTTTGTTGAAAATATCCAGGTATTATTGTAGAATGATTGGCTAGCCTTCATTCGTGCAATCACATAGTCTGAAAATAACTATTATCTTATGAATTGTAATTTTTTTCTAATCACTTCCGGTGGCGCAATTTTTACTCCAAAAGCTTGTGCATAGCCTCCCATTAAATGCTGATTATCTCAAAAACGAGCTAGGGACACCCTATTTTTCTTTCCAGATTTGGAATCAGCATTAAATTTCAATTCAGAAAATCGAAGTTTTAAAAAAAGTCAATTTCCAAAAGTAGGCAGTCTCACTGTTGGTAATTCATTAAAGAAGTCTGTTGTTTGGTTCTTGTGTTGCTGTTTCAAGGACATGTAGCTTGTCATAATTTACCCCTAACAGGACCTTATCAACTTCTAAATTCAAATTGGAGTACAGTGGAAGAAGAGCCACTGTCATCATCATAGATCAAAGTAATCATCACCATGCATCATATCATCATCATGCCATCACTGTCATCATTATCATTGCACTTCATCAACACCCTCATAATGGACATCACAATTCTGCCATTTTGTGTCATTCTTTGACTCACCGTACATATAAAGGCCATGACTAGGAATACAAATCTGAACCAAATCTCCACTTGAGTAAAGTCTGAACTATAGTGCTTCAGCTAAAAAGGATAAAACATATACATGTATTTATGAGGACGGCTTTTTATATGGAACACTTCTCACCTATCAATAAATAAATTCATATCAAATGTGTAGTCCAAAAGTTATCCATACCCTCCTCATGGCAGAATCTTTTTAAGACACCCCCTACCCCCTGGAAATTCCAATTTTCTTCCATACAAATTCTGTAATTTTTGTTCTTTCTCTGACCCCCTACTCTTTGGAAATTCCAAATTCCTCTGTGCGGTGCGTATGGATGATTTTTGGAACTACACAATAAACTTTTATTTTATTCGTATTACTTACAGAAAATGTGACATCATCTAAGTATATACCAGATGGGAAGTTTAATCCATCAAACGTGACTTTTACGGCATACGATGGGTAGTCGATAAACCCAAGGTGTAAGATGACCATGTTACTGCACTCCTAATAATAGCCAAAACAAAACAACACCAAATACATACTCAAGTCAAGTTACAAGGTTAAAATGTACTCTTTATGATCAGCTGTATTTACTTGATACTTACCTTCTCATTACATTTAACATATCTTGTCCTATTGAAGGATGTTGCAATCCGATGATAGCTTGTGTCTTTCACTCGACCACGGATTTCGACACCCAACTTGAATTTGACATCGAAGGAATTACCTGTAGGTAAATAATCATTAATCATTAATGATTATCTTTTCACAGTGTAAAATTAACCCTTTTATCATTACCGTTTCATTAGAAACACCGACGCAGCTCACTGTAGTAATGATTAGATCATAACATAGGAATGCATAGGAATGTAATGTATGATTACCTCATAACAATATATATCCAATAACACACTGTGAATGATTAATCTAACAAAGTACACGGCGAAGTAACATGTCTTCCCATTAGATCCAAACCCCGTTATTACACGATCACACTAGTTTTTAGCTAGTTATCTCTCATAAATTATTAATCTATTAATAATCAATTAAAGATTGGCCATCAATGAACACATGGGATACTTCTCCAATAATTTGTCAGTTTGGGTCCTGGGATTTACATTTGTAGTTTAATTTTAGTCCCAAGCATCTTTAATTGATACATTATTATATAACCGGCCTTGACAACCAAATAAGTACACTGAATTCAAGGAGACGTCGAAATTTTTAGAATGTCAGTCTAAACCTTCATAACACTGAGTTAAATTACAATAATTTTTTAGAGCAAACAGGAGTAATTATTACTCTTGTTTTGCTTTAAGAAAKAATTATTCAACATTATTCATATTTTTTATTATTTATTTTTTTATTTCTATATGACAGTGTTCTTGTAATTGGTGTCTGTTCACAAAGAATTAAAATAAAATAAAGAAGCATCTAAGATTTTACCACTCTTTGTTCCATTAATTTTAAAGTTACAGAGGATCCATATCTGCTGACTGAAAGATGACAGTAGACCAGTATCTATCTCATATGGACCAGTCTGAAAAAAAAAAACAAAGTATAAGTTGGAGAATAAAGAAACAATACTCAGGGGAATAATATATGGTCTGAAATGGGATGACAGCATATTAGATAGCAGAGATGAGAATGCTCAAGTTTGATTCTCAAACTCAACGTTGTACGAGGACTACAGACCACCCTAGAAAGTGGAGGTAGGGGAGGGGGAGGCTAAGATTGTAAAATATAATAGACTAGTATGTCAAAAGGTGAGAGGGATATAGGCCCCCCCAAGCCCTTCATCTCTGCAGTCCCTGTCGCATGTGAGTAGAGTTGGTCGTTGATTCTCTCCTGTTGTGCTTCAATGGTTTTTCTCTCTTCCCTCCATCTCTGCAGTCCCTGTCGTACGTGAGTAGAGTTGGTCGTCGATTCTCTCCTGTTGTGCTTCAATGGTTTTTCTTCACTACAAAAATCCACTTCATTGGTTTATTGGATAGAGAGTCATTATGAGATGACCAGGACTAAATCCCATTATTTATATAATATTACTTATGCTACATATACATTTACATTGGTTTCTTGGGGGGGGAGGGGGGAGCATTTTTTATTTGAATATTTTAGACAGTAATAATCAAATATCAATCCTGTTTTACCAGTAATTTCTTTTGTGGTACGTTTAATTCATGAACAGCACTGTAACTCCTACTTGAGATGATGGGAGGGCCTAATGAAAAATAAAAGATAACAATATTAGAAAAAGAATTTGCCAGACTGGGAGACATGCATGTTTCCCTGCTAACAGAGTCTCCCTCGTTGACAACTCTTGACAGAGAATATTTTCTCTGCCAAGAATAGCCAACTTAGGAGACTCTCAAATTGAACAAAAACCTTACATTAAATACTTAGGAGTTTATATTGACCAGCATCTTAATTGGGAATATCAAATCAAACTTGTACACAGTAAAATATCTAAGAATATCGGAGTGATTAATAAGTTAAGGTACTATGTTAATTTGAAAACATTACGAGATGTATATTTTTCAATAATTTATCCATACTTAGAAAACTCATTAATAATTCATGAGGAAAACACAATAGAAATCATGACCATGAAGGTGATTTTATATCGGATATAGATTCGTCTTCATTTGCATAAACTTTAACTTGGATTTTCTCTATCAAACTTGGTTCATTTCGTAAAGAATTCAGTACAATATGAGAACATACATCATGAGTTTTCTAAGCCGTTCAATAAACTCGCAGATCGTGTTTTATCGGGTCTAAAACCACTCGGCTACGCCTCGTGTTTCATACCCGATAAAACACTCCTGCTCGTTTATTAAACAGTACTTAGCATATGGGATATTATCTTGGGGAAATACGTACAAAACAAATTTAACTAAAATATTCACAGCTCAAAATAAATGTATGAGAAGAATTTTCTTCTGTAATAACTATGAACATGCAGCCCCCCTCTATAAATTATTAAGTATATTAACATTTCAAAATATCCT